GGTGTGGAAGGGGGAAAGGGCCGGTGTGCTCACCGGCTGCCACCATTGTAATACCTCGCGAGTTCGGGGAGGGTACGGCCGGTAGATCACCAGATTCCGAGTATAGCTTCCTCTTCTTGGTCAGCGATTCTGAGTCTGAAGTATTCGAGCCTAAGATATCCATTACGCAAGCACTCGCATACAGTCACACAAGTCAGTGAGGGTGTTAAACGACGATTGGAAAATGCAACAGTTTATTGGGTACGAGAGGAAGTATATAACGAAAACTTATTATGTAAACGAGCTCAAAAAGGTTGAACTATAACAAACAACGGAAAAACGGTCATGAGTGAAACCGTTAAGCACTCGGGGGTGTAGGGATACACGTGGAACACGCCGAGGAAAACTGAGGGGAAAAACAATTCAGCAAGCCATGTAAGCGTAACTGTACAATAAAACAGATCAGCGAAAAGTGTTCACGATGGGACTTATCGGGGCGCGGCCGTCGACGATCGTTCACAGGAGATCAGTCCTCACGATCGACCTACAAAAGAGTGGTCGCGATTAAAACAAAAGAGTTTTTGTCCATCAGTTCTGTTGGGGTGTTACAAGGGAGAGCATTAAGTTTGTGCCTGGATTTTCTGCGACCGCGTCGGATCTCGCGGTGGTCAAAAGTCAGTGTCTCCATACCGTGGGGCTGAATCAAAGGCTGCGCAAGCAAATAAAGGGTGAAAGTGTTCGATTGTTGTCGATACACCGATTTAACTGCGAAATAGTTGGAATAAGCGCTTCGTGACTGCTTATTTATTAAGATGTCCTCATCCACATTCAGATTCATGTTGCATGTACATTTGTCAATGTCATTAGCGGAATCTTTGCATTGCTGTGTAACGACGACAAAAAATTAATAAAAAGAGGCAAGTATCATTGGAGATGGATTTCCTGTTGCGTTGACAGACGCAACCTTAAGCGGAAATCGCGCACGTATCCTCAGTGTCCCTTTTTCTTTTGTTTGTCTTTTTTCTCTTAACTGGGTTGGGATTCTATTGCGTTTGGTCTTGCGCTGGACCTCCCAATCCGTCGGTGCAGCGGTTGTCTGGTGCTTTTTCGCTCGTGGTCTTGGGTAATCTTTCGTATAATTTTTAATGATTGTTAAGGAATTCTCTTGTTCGAACATATATATATATATATAAGCCTAACTGTCGCCTCATAAACGGCTCATATGCCTTGCTCGGCCACAATATTGTAGGCGCGAAGGACTTTTACAGGCCCTTCGAGAGAAACGCCATATTATTACAGAATCTGCGGAGTAGATCGCAGACTTTCTGAACCATGGTATTCCTCCTTAAACATGTGAAAGCTTGCTTAAGCAAGTAACCGTCTGAAAAATACAGCCGCTTTAGTTTAAGATCATTCAAACCGTCATCCAATCATAAAACCCTAATAGCAAAATGTGCTCTGAATGAGCTCGCAGGGAGCTCGTTTTGCGAGGTTCGGGACCTCTGCTGGAGCTCTGAAATAGTAAGCGATCAGAGCTCATATGGAGCTCTCGAAAACGAGTCCAAAGTGAGCTCTGAAAAAGGGACTAGCGAGGTCGTTCCGAGCTTGGCCCGAGCTCCAAAAAACGAGCTCCAGCCCTTAAGGGCGCAGCGACAGAATGATAGGTGTCGAGGCGCTGATGAACTTCGACTCGATAAATAGCTTATGACTCATCTTTAGGACCCCGTCTGTTAACCATCTGCACCGTATAGATCGCATGTTTGTTTCTCGTCCCATCTGGTGGTCAGAATTAAAATTGGCTGAATTCTCTCTGTCGTCATTCCCCCGTCTAAATTCTCTTTGCATATCGGTAGACTGTCACAGTCAAATCCGATTGTACATGATTACTTGCGGATTTTCGCATCATCACCTTTTGGGACGCAGTACAAAACTTCCAGGAACAATTTGATGCTACCTGCAGCACAACACCGAGACCTCATTTTTTTCTTAAGTAGTCTAGGTGAAAAGTCTCAATTCATACGCATTCTTATCTACGAGAATAGTCTAAAGTGACATTGCTAATTCAGTCTATGGATATAATCTCTCTTCTCCTCTTATTAGTTGTGAAGCCACCGATCATAACTTGTAACCACGTTGGTGTTTGAACTTCTCTATGACCTCGGCGTTTGCAGGGGCAGGCATTTTTCCACAATGGCAGTTTTAATCGATTGCCCTTGCGCATTAGAAATCGACTGATGCTGGTAGTCGCTCCTTCCCATTTTGCAGCTAAACAGTGACTGCACCTTACCTGGCGGTAGAAGGGGACTCACTCGTCCGGTCGTGCCTTGGGGCTGTCTCGAGCCCCGCCAGCAGCCGTACAGTGGCGCGTAATATAGGCAGAATAGCATTACCGACCACGACAAGGGAGACTGAAGTGGCCATTTCTGACTTATTAGCCGTCGTCCGCCCGTTATACCCAACTGCGAAGTGTGGAACACCTGGGGCTCGATCCCGCGACATGTTGGTTAGAAGTCCAACGTCCCTAACTATTGTATATATTCGACTGCGACCAACAGGGCGACGAGCCTATGGCTTAGTGGTTAGAGGCGTTGGACTTCTAATCAGCAGGTCGCGTTATCGAGCTCCAGATGTTTCACACCTCGGGTCTGGTTATGGCTGGCGGACGACGACGACCAACAAACCAGAAACGACCATTTCAATCTCGCTTGTCTTTTCCGGTAATGCCATTTTGTGCTTTATCTCTCCTATGGATAAATTTCTGGACTGGTTTCACATCAGAATCTTATACACCATCCTGCTATCGCGTTTGCCCTTTTTGTTTTAGAAGCCTTGTATAGGTTTTTTGGGATTCGTTGCAGTTCTGGCGTGCTGTGCGCACAGTTTCGTGCAGTAACTGACTCAAGTCAGGGTGGCTCTGAAGGCAAATACCTCGAGCGTCATTGGATAGTCAGTTCACCGGTTCGATAATAAATTATTGACAGTGACGTTTTCAGGACGGGGTCATTTTTTCTTAGGTGAATGTCTGGGCACAGTTTAGGTCCAACAGACATAATTCTGTCAAAACCTATCAGGAATAGACAGTATGGATGCTGCAAAACGACCGAAGTCGGCCATATGGAATCGTGTAGGATTAGCGAGGTATTTGATGAATCTGTTTCTCACTTCTGGAGAACCCACCCACCGTCTTCTCAGGCAGCACAAACGGAGCAACAGAGATCCAAGGACCACCTCTATGTCATGACGGCGTATGCTGAACATGGTTTATAGCTGGCCTTCACCCCGCCTCCAGTTGGATAACGGTATCGGACCGAGTGCAGTAGTCCTTGGCTCATGGGGGACGACGAAAGACGTGCACAAACCATCTCAGTCGTCTTTGTTGGGGAGTCCGAGATATCCTGACAATGTCGCGATAACGAATGTGAACTGGTTGGTTTTAGAGGATATCGGTATGGTTCACTCGATTGATTATACTTGTGTTCAACTTCTTAGGAAGACGACGACATCGTGACGACCTACTTTATTAGTGGCCTCTGTGCTGCAGGACTGGAACGCCCCTCGATGTCGGACTCGATTACATTTGTGAAATTACTACCTTGTCGACGCATCTCGACTTGTTTTGCATTTACAAGACGCCCTACGTCATTGTAAGCAGTTTCCGTAAGGGCAACCTTATAAGTTCCGTTGCGGGCTAACCATCAGCCCAGAGGGAAAAGTTATCCCGTAAGCTTGAAGCCTTTTTGGCTGCCTCTGTTGCCGAAGACAGTAAACTTTTTTCAGATTTGTAGTTTTATTGGTATCTAGGCCTCAAGACCACGGAAGGTATTTAATAGCAATTAATGGTCGTCATGTCAGAGTTGACTTCGGTCTTTGTGATGTTTTATACAATGCCGTACTCCGATACCAGGCCATGCGTTAAGATTGCTGCCGCCCGGTTAAGGAGTCTGTCTACTCAGTAGCTTGTCCTTTCTGCGTTACTGCTCAGCTTCTGTCCTCCAGTACGCCTCATATTTCCTCCGGCAACTGCCGGGACATTTCAGCCGGATTAGCAAGCAGGATGCTCACTGGAAATAAAGCCGTTCTTTTTTTCCTAAGTGGTGTCATTTAATTCATTCCCTACTAGATTCCCGCTGTCAGAGGAGAATCTCCTACGGGTTTTACGCTCACTCTGTCGAGGGGTATCTGTGTACAGGTCGCACGTTTTTGTTTGCTCCTGCTGCACAGATCAGAAACCTGCGCCATAAATGACAGCTGCTTTCGATCATTGCTATGTATGCTGAGCAGACATTCCTATGTACGGTCGTCTCTTAGGCATGCGGCCAATTAGTCGTGGCTACCCAACTTTTACGAAAACCAAGCCATAAGCGCTCAGTTGTCTGACCAATGGACCCTTTTGCCTTTTTAACTTTCAGGTCATAAACAGCGGTACACTAGTGAAATGTATTGACAGGCGATAAGCTCTCGCGTAGCACGCTGTCTACTCACAGAATTTTGGTTAATCAGGCCACATTGAGTCACGTCTTTTGACCTGACTAGGTGACT